AAAGAAGAAGCTTGAGCGATGATAAAAAGAAAAAGAAAACCGTGAAGGGGAAATTTCCTCTTATTGCCGTCGTGAATGGTTCTCCAAACCCTAGTGCGTTTGAAGTTCTTGAAAACGCCTCTAAAGAGGCGGTACTTCCTCTTCTCCTCCTTGTGCACGCAACCCGGCCAGTCGCAAACGTACAGGATATCGTCGCGGAACTGCCTCCCGAGCAGCTTGCTCCCCTGCTCCCGGCTCAGGCTCCAGCTCCCCGACGCCAGGTGCGACCGCCACGACCGCGATACCTTCCGCTTCTTGCACACGCCATTCGAAACGACGTCTGCGCTCACGAAGTGATTAACTAACTTAATCTCAGTTCAAACACTTAAACATCCAACATGGCAGACAGAGAATAGAGCAGATCAGTGATCACGTGGCAACGCCGTTTGCCACATCCACTGAAACTTAACACCGTCCAATTTTAAGGACTATTACTCAGAGTTTCAAAACAATAAGGACTAAAAACCATCAAAGTTCTAAGTAGGGACTAAAACCAAAATCGCTTGATAGTTCAGGGACTAAAAACATATTTAACCCAAATTTTTTTATCAAAAGAAGTGAGAGAGTTTGGTTAGCTACATAGACTTCAGTCCAAAAACTTAAATATTAATTCAAAGAAATATCTTTTTCTATATTTTCAAAAACTTATGAATTTAAACAATTTATACGAAAAATTTATATATTTTTTACTTTAAAAAACATTTTTTACAAACTAGATTTATTAACACGATGATTTTTTGTTGTCTGTGGGGAGTAACGTGTTTAGATTTATGTCACAGTATCTTTGAGTCAATGGAAATGTTATTATGAATTATAACTAAAAGTATACTTAGAATATAAAAAATAAAATGTAACTTTTTGAAAAGTTTTCATTAAAAAAATAATGCAAAAGATTAGAGGAAAAGATGTGAACTCCCTTCTATGTTAGATTTATAGAGTCAATAACAATGTTTTGGAGATTAAGAGTAGAATAAGTGTTAGATTTATAGAGTCTTCATCTTCTTTCTATGTTAGATTTATAGAGTCTTTATCCTCTTTTTTTTTTTTTTCTTTTTCCTACTTCTTTTCTCCTTCTCCTTCTCTCCTTCTCTCCCTCTTCTGTTTTTCTTATCTTCATCTTTATTTTATTTATAATATATTTTGTTAAATTTAATAGAAAAATATTGACGTCTATTTTGTTGACAAATTTTTAAAAAAATTGTATAAATTTTTAAAAAATTCAATAACCAATGAATTTTTAGAAATTCATCAAAATGAATTTTATCACCAATGATCAAAATTAAAACAAAAAATTAAATATTTATTTTATGAATAAAATATTCTTCAACAATAAAAGATATATATTATCAATGTATTTTATTTATGATTTATCAACGAAAATATTTATCGTAATTAAAATCTTAAAATCCATTGATAAAATTATTTTTTGTCTGTAAAATCTATTAATTGAGTTTTTCTGAATTCATAAAATTTTGTCAATAATGTATTATTTTATAGTAGTATTTTATAGTAGTATTGTGATAATAGTTTCACGTGGTTGAGAATGAAACACCAACGATCTTCTTGTCATAATAATATTAAATTTTATGAACTACTTAAAAGTATTTTTTTAGAAGATTATTAACATAATAAGACTTCATAAAGTCTAGTTTGTAACGACAAAAGAAAACTAGGTCTATGTTTGGATCTAGGGTGTCTTTGAATTGAGGACAAGATTTAAGAGAGAATTAATACATAAATTTGAGAAAATAGAGAAAAAATTATAGTATTGTTTGTTTTGAGCTAAATATGACATTATTTGAATAGAGTTGAGATAAAAATTTGTATAATGAAATATGTATAATAAATTAAAAAAATATTTTAATAAATCAAATTACATAATTATCATTTTATCTTTAAAAAGATAAATGTGATATAAATACAATTGCAATTGTTCAAAATAAATGAGAATAAATATTAAAAAAAATTGGAATGTATTTTGCACATGGTTGCTTTAAAAGTTATTAAATTTAGAACCCAACTACTTATTATTTATTTGGATTGGAGAAAGATAATGTACTCCCTATAAATCTCATTATTTTATCAACCAACCTTTTTAGTAAATGTTTGCAGGAGTGGAACACACATGTATATAGTATAATATTTTATAGACATTTAAAAACAAAGGTATATATACATAAAGTTCAGCCAGCACTGCAGCTGAAAAAGAAATCTTTGAAATTAACACCACATAAGTTTTCGACATAAGACATAAATTTTCATATAACATTAAACACACTATTAAAGCTAGCAAGAGACATCGCGCTGACAGTTCATATTGTTTACTTTTTAACAATAGTAATTTATAATAATACATAAATAAATTCTTTAAAATATATATTTCATATTTTTATTTTATTTTTTAAAGAAAAAATAAGAATTAAAATAAACTATCTAATACTAAAAGTAAATACTTATATACTGGAAATCTTTTAAAAAAATGTATTATAAACCACTGATTATTTTTTCATAATAATTATTATTAATTTTATTTTTTAAATATAAAAGCATATGTAAGTTTTAATAAAAAGTGAAAATTAATTTAAAGGCTTCAATACAGAAGGTTGAGTTTAACGGAGGGAGAATTACTCCCTTCAGCATCCCAACTATTTCCAACATCTCCACATAATTTTTTAATTTCAAAATTATTCTTTTTACTTTAACCATTTACCTTTTTTACTTTTATATCAAAACCCTTATTCCCTACTTCTCATCTCTTTTTACTTTAACCATTTACCTTTTTTACTTTTATATCAAAATCCTAATTCTCTACCTCTCATCTCTTTTTATTTTAACCATTTACCTTTTTTACTTTTATATTATTAGCACTGTTTTTAAGTTTGGAATTATTGCTTTGTAGGCTGCTAGTTGGAATAAGGAAAACGGATCCTATTCAAAAACTTGATTGTTCTAAGTCAAACTAAGAAAAAGTCATTTAATTAGGGTATGCAAGCTTTCTACTTATACATTACAATTTCTTAAAAAAAAAATTATTGGGGAAATGTCAAACATATAATTCAACACACAAAAATAAAGGAGAATTATATAAGTGAATAGAAAAATTAAAATGATATCAAACTAAAATGATAAAATCTGAATGTAAAAGACTTTGATGACTATCACATTCCTATTAATCTCAGAAATATGATTCTTCCTTGTATCACAAAAATAGTAATCAAGAATAATTGTACCAGACGTAAAATTATTATCATAGCAAAATAATATAATGTGATGGCAACAAATAAGAATCAGAACAGAATAATATCACCATTGCAGCATTGTGAGGGCCCAATATCCTAATTGGCAAAGTGGTGGACATGACTCTTCTATAGCAAGTCCTTGTCCCCAAGTAATCCTTCCCCATTCCACTGCATCCTTTGAAGCACTTGGATTCAAGATCTCTTCAATCTTTGAGCAACAACACCTTTTCACCCTCGCTTCATCAATATTTAGGGCAAATGACCAAGACATTCATCTTTTGCTCATCTTTTTCTCTTCAGTAATAAAAAAACCGCCAAGGCCTCAACGGATATGGCATTTCCGTTTGGCCTTGAGCGGATGTGGATATCCGTTTAAATAGGAAAAAAAACAACCTCTCGTAGACCAAACAAAAGCGCCAATCTCCACAGAAGACACACCCCACGAACGAAGCACCATCAACACACCACTATCGAACCACGAACACACAACCAAGGCACCAAAATGGAGAAAAGAGAAGGAATGAAATGGAAACGGATATCGAGATTGGTAGGGGAAGAAACGGAATAGAGAGAAGAGAAAGAGAGAAAGTGAGAGTTAGGGTGAGGACTCCACAGTGAGTGAAAATGAGAGGTAAGAAATAAGGATTTTGGTATAAAAGTAAAATAAGGTAAATGATGAAAATGAAAAGGGTAATTTTGAAATTAAAAAAATTATGGAAAGGTGTAGGGAGAAGTTGGGACGGTGGAGGGAGTAGCTCTCTAACCGAGGACACGTAGGTCCTAAAATAGAAAAACCTGCTCCGTATGATGCAACGCATATTGTAATTAAATCGGAACCGTCCCGCGTACCTCTTATAGTACAACACAAATGTTTGCACATGATTGGACACTCAAAAAGCTGTTTTCTTGTTTAAAGTACTAACTCTAAAATGAATTAAATAAATTGTGTTATATAATAAATTTAAATAATTTTCCTAATTTAGATATCTATCAGATCAAATTTTAATTTAAATAGTTTCAGAAAAATATCGTGAACCGATTTTTTTGTAGTCATAAAATTTAAAATGAAGACTTTGGTCCAGAAATTGACTCCGATTAGTAAATTTGATATGTTAAAAATTTTACAGTCATATTATTTATTATATTGATAAAATTTGATAAAGTAATTGAACGTGATCCTTCCATAAATAGAATAAATAAATAAATTAATAAATGATGTTAATATGATAAATAAAGTTAATATGATGATGAAGGTAACAAGAAATAGAGGTGAAGAAATATAAAAAGAAAATAGGCGTATGATGATGTTGTGTTGTTGTTCCTTTGATTCAGGGTCGCATCTCTCTCTTTCTCTCTCCCTCTAACGATTCGACAACATGGACTGCACGCACAGAACTCTCCGCTTCTCTCTCTCTTCATCAATATTCAAGGCTCTCAAGACCACCCTTCAATTTTGGACCCCTTTGCTACTCACTTTCCATTTTCTACATCTTTCTCTCGACCTTCTCTTCTCCTACATATTTTTCTCTTCTTCTTTTTACCTCTTCAATCTTCTTTCTTCTATTAATATCTTTTGGGTGACCGAAAGCTTGCGTTTTTCTTTCTGCATTGTTTTTCCTTCAGGTAATTGTCACTGCGGTTATGGCTCTGGTTCTGATGAACGGCTTCCTCAGCGATACTTAAGCTTCGAACTCGTCTTTCTTTTCTGGGAATTTTGTGTGATTCTGAATTTTAATTTGCTCGGTGTTTTTGTTCGCTGTTGTCTTGTGTTGGATCATGAAGATGTGGTTTCTTCTGGGTTTGTTAAAAAATCTGTAGTCTTTTTCTCAATGATTATTAAATAGCAATGCGGGCTTCCTGGGGGATTCGTTTTTCCCATGTTTTATTCGCCTTTAATGCTTTGAGGAACAAATTGGCGTGCATGTATTTTGCTAGTGCTATGAGTAATGAGTTATGCAGAACCTAACTTTCAGCTTTGTGCGTCTCTTTGCTTTTATTTTTTGTATGATTTGTTCTTGTACTGCTTTCAGTGGATCTTTGGTTCATCGTGTGTCAATTTTGTTTATACATTTGTAAATTGCAGTGGTTCTGTTTTGTGCACAAAAGTTTTGTGGTTATTTGAATTGTACATGTTTTCATTGGCTGAATTTGCCGCCCCCGCCCCACTTCACTCCCCTAATTTTAACCCTTGTTGTTTTTACTTTACTGTGCTTGTGGATTCAATCCTTTCCTTGGTTTATATTTTCTTGTTAGATGACTTTTCCTTTTTTACTTCTTTGGGTTGTTCTCCATTCTGGAGGAGAAAATGTCTCAAATGGTGTGACTTTAAGTGCAGCATGTCGCTCAATGTCGGGAGTGGAGCTTGATTTGTTAATTGATATTAAGGAATAAGATCTCATTCTACACTCTAAAAGAAAGGGGTTCTGCAAATGCTAAATTTTGGCAGGTCCAGAAATCAGCCAAGGACAGTCAGAGCTACAACAATGGGAGGTATAATTCTCTCCTATAAATTTCAGCACAAATGGTGGTAACTTTTTATATTTTCCCCTTTAAATGAAGCTTGGTTGGTTAAAAGTATTAATCAGTTTGAAAATGGGAATTGAAAGTTTTACCTTTTGTATGACTAGACTATAGTATAGACTAGTTGCAGTGCATGTATATAATTGACTACAAGGTGTTTGTGAGTTCATAATTGTCAATCTCCAGTGATTTGTTTCGTGTTTTGTTAGTATTTTGGCTCACTCGTAATATACTTGGAGTTTAAAAATGTAGTTTCCGTTTTTCTGTCCTTTAGGTTTGGATTATCCAGATCCAAAAAGGAAGGGCAATTTTGTTGGGAAAGTATTTCTTGCTGCTGTGTTAACAACACTATGTATTATCATGATCAAGCGAACTCCATCTTTGAATTCCTCTAGTCCGGTAATCCTTATACCATTGACACCATTAAAATGCTACACACTATTACCGTGGTATACATGTTACTAGTGCACCGGTCATGCTTGTTGTATCTGTATATTAGATTATATTATTTATTGTAGTGAGGTTTTATAATAACAACAAGAGATATGGGTATAAACCCTGTTATAATACATATGAATACAGCGCAACAGATACATAAATTTTGTTTAAGTTTCTTTGGCCTTTTTTATAACATATTTGAAAGATGCATTAAAATTGTTCAGTTGGTGTTCAGCAGTGTTTTAAGAGAGATGAGAAAGATAGAAAGAAATTAGGGGAAAGGAATTGTAAGGTTTAGAGATAAGCGGTGGAAGATGTGAAGCTTGAAAAGGAAAACAGAGAATGAATCTTATTGATCAAAGCTTGATACAGGAAGGTATATGTAGATATACATGAGTAACAAAACCATGCAGACCTAACTGACTGCATGACAGATATCCATGCATACAGATATCCCTAACAGGAATAGTTGAGAGTTGTTATATGGTGTTTACTTTTCAGTCATAATTTTCTTCTTTCACTCGCCCAATTTTATTGCTACTTTATGTATCTAATTCAACTGTACCTTTTTTTTCTTTTATTCATCTAGCTACCGTTAAGTTTTATTTCTCCTCCCTTTGCAGTTTGCCATCCATGAACCGGGTGTCACTCATGTTTTAGTAACAGGAGGTGCAGGATTTATTGGTTCACATGCTACTCTAAGACTTTTGAGGGATAATCATCGTGTCACCATAGTAGTATGTCAATTCATAAAAGTTCATTCTCTGTTAAGCCAAATGCACTGCTCAGTGTATTGTTACAGACCTGACATTTCTTTTCCTGGCAGGACAATCTTTCACGTGGAAATTTGGGAGCAGTTAAGGTTCTTCAAGGATTATTTCCGGAACCTGGAAGACTTCAATTTATTTATGCTGACTTGGGAGATAAAAAATCTGTATGCTTACATTGTTTGTTACTAGAAATACTTCGGTGTCACTCTTTTTGTTGTTCTTTTGGCATGTGTGGGGAAGGACCTTGAAATATTGTTTATTTGACTGGTTATTAGGTTGAAAAAATATTTTTGGAGAACAAATTTGATGCTGTCATGCACTTTGCTGCTGTTGCATACGTGGGAGAAAGCACAATGGATCCTCTTAAGTAAGCACTTCTGCATTTTGTTCATTCATGTTAATCTCAGCTGAATAAGTTGTGGAAGGCACTTGTGCGCAGTTTCTAATTTCAAACGTCTATATCTAAGTACTGTAGATCACGTATAGCTTTTTAGATACCAGTTGACATTTTAAGAATTATTTGAATTGACACACAGATTTCTGTTATGGTCTTGCTTTTGTCAATAAATTCACGCATTGAGTCTGTAAAGAAACTTTAGACACAAAGTGTAATGCAAGATACGTGTGTATTTCTATTTGTTGTTCTTATTGAAATAATGTTTGCAATGAATACCAGACTAGTTATAAATAAGTTGGACTATTCTAAAACCATCTTTATCCAGAGGATGTTTTTGATTCCGTACACCCATATTTGCTATTGCTACTCTAAGAATGAATTATGTTATTGATATTGCTATTTTTTGGAATTAGATATGAATTTATTGATAGAGTTGGGCAATTTGTTGTTACAAGAATGGTATTTTATGGTTGAGTTGACCAATTTCGGTTTTACTTTATTAATAATTTAACGTATTTCGAATTTGTATGTTTGGTAGGTATTATCACAATATTACATCAAACACGTTGTTGGTATTGGAGGCTATGGCCAAACATGACGTGAAGACATTGATATATTCTAGTACATGTGCAACATACGGGGAACCTGAAAAGATGCCCATTACAGAGGAAACGCAGCAGGTGGGAATCCAAGGATAGTTGAATTATGGGGGTTGGTTGAAAACATTTTATGTTTTTCATTGCATCCTGAATTGGGTTTAGGCTCGAGGAAATTTGGAATTAACATTGATGTTCTATTTCTATATATAGGTCCCAATAAATCCATATGGAAAAGCCAAGAAGATGGCTGAAGATATCATCCTTGATTTCTCTAAAACCTCAGACATGGCAATAATGATACTGAGGTTTGGATTTTGAATTTACACATTTCCCTTCATTTCAAACAGCTTTTTATATCTTATTCCGTGTGCCCTTTGTTGCAAAAGTTGTAACTTTAGTGATTCTTACTGTATATGAAATATATGGAACATAGCAAACGGGATTCCATGATCGTGTAATTGATCCATTTAATCAGTGCACATTTTGGGAAATTTTTATGGAGCTTCCGACATGTTCCTTTATTGTATATGGATTTTTTTGTCTTTACAAAACTTCCCACCTCATGTTAGTATGACCATATACAATTTGAGTTTTAGCTATGGATACATTAAATATTTTTAGAATTATCTGTGCTGGTATTCTTTATGAGTTTTCTTTGGGAAACTACCAGATATTTCAACGTGATTTGATCAGACCCTAATGGAAATTTGGGTGAGGCTCCTAGGCCTGAGCTGCGAGAGCAAGGTCGAATATCAGGGGCTTGCTTTGATGCTGCTCGTGGTATTATACCTGGTTTGAAGGTATGCTGATACTGAAAATTTCATTTTTTTATCTCTTACATGGCTGAAAAGGAATTCTTTATAGAAGTCAGACTGTGTTTTGATATGTATAATGAAAAGTGGAATAAAGTTTGCATTTGATTGTTTTAGTAGCTGTAGGGTGTTGATTGGGTGGTGGCACTATGCAGGTAAGAGGAACAGACTATAAGACGGCTGATGGAACTTGCATACGAGATTATATCGATGTAACTGACCTGGTCGATGCTCATGTGAAAGCTCTAGAAAAGGCGCAACCTGCTAAAGTTGGGATCTACAATGTTGGCACTGGAAAGGGTAAGTTAAATACTTGGATGGTGAAAACAGCAGAAAACATATTTTCTGAACCAAACCAAACAAAACAAAACAACCTTGTACGTTTGATTATAGTATTAGTGTATGTTTATCAGGTAGTTCAGTGAAGCAGTTTGTGGAAGCTTGTAAAAAGGCGACAGGGGTGGACATTAAAGTGGAATTTCTTCCTCGTCGTCCTGGTGATTATGCTGAGGTATACAGTGACCCAAGAAAGATCAAACGTGAACTGGATTGGAGTGCTAAGTACACTGATCTTCAACAGAGTTTGAGGATTGCATGGAGATGGCAGAAATCTCATCGTGATGGTTATGGGGTTTCAAATGAATTGCGTTGAATTACTTGAAATTCTAGCAATGAAACCCCTGCTGCACTTCTATTTATCTATTTATATATTAGAAAATTTGTTCTTAGGGAAAGTTCATTCGTTACATGTATTCACCTTATTATATGATTCAATAATATAATGCTGAGCCTCTATTATAGCTTTCTTCAATATCCTACAATCATAGCTCTTGTTCCAATGAAATTCTTTCATCTTTATGTAAGGCCAAATTAAAATATATAATTAAATATCTTGATTTAATATTTTATTGTCAAACAGAGTTTTCATTTGGGTTTGAGAGTAAAAAGGGTATCAAATAATATTTTTTTTTTCAAAAACAGGTAATACTTTGCATTGACACCATGATGCATGTAGTATATTCCAGCGAAATTAATTGCATATGATTTAAAATTAAATTTGAATTTAACTTATTGTAAGTATCGATAGAAGAATAGAAGAAAAGAGAGAAAAATGTCAGAATCAAAGGTACGAGAAATGAGCACAAAAACATGAGTATGCAACTACTTTTTTAATAGCATCGAATAATTACAAAATTCATTCACCAACATTTAAAATTATGCCTATTAAAAATAATTTTAAATCTGAAACTCTAAATCTTATATGTCCTAAATCCCAAAACTATTATTTTAGTCTTTCAAATTTAGTGTTTAAAAACTAAAATCGAAATTTTATCAGAGACTTTATATATATATATATATATATATATATGACTAATTAGAACTGATTTCTTTTCCCAAAATTTATTTACTAAAAGTATAATTAATCTCTAATCAATAGTAAAACCATATAGTTAGATTTTTTTATATTTTATTTTGAACAGAATAATTTTATGTCTGACATTATATATTCTAAGTACAAATTTATAATTCTCACTTTTCTTAACGTAAGAAAGTTATGACATTTATGATAGTTATTGGGTATGTATATATTTTTTATCCATTTAGAAAAATATCATAATTGTATGACAATATACAACACGTACAAGTGTATCTCTATAGATCCAGTTTATTCCCGATGATGACTTTAACATGTTGGCTTGCAAGTTCCATTTAGTTTCATTGATGACTATCAATATTAATGTTTCTTCATCTGTCCGTCGGTGATGTTTTACATTTTCTTCCTTGATATATAATTTAGAGGAATTTTTATTATATTTTAACTGTAGCCTTGTATTCCGTCCATATTTTATTTTCATGCTTGCTGATTCATTATCGTGATTCAAATATGTTGCTTGAAAATAAAATTTTACTCCATTCTTCAATGATTCATATTAACTGTAGCTCTACTATTGTATTATTTCATAATTCGTGAATGATTTTTTGTTAATCTATGAGTTTATTAGATTCTTATGATTTAGCTTTATGTTAATTATTATATAAATAGTAAACTGATGTGATTGCTTGCAACTGTAGGGTTTAAACAGCTTTCACAGTTCTCTCGCAAGCTATACATATGTTGGCTTGATTTTTCCTTTCACATCATTTGTGATCGCTTCTTATGTGCTGATGTAATGAAAATTTTTATTGAAAAAGAAAACATTTATTATATTTAAAACATAAAAATAGTTTAATTTATTTAATTAATTGGAAACATCTACATCGGACTCATTTTAACTATGACGGTTTTTCGCTTTCTGTTTACATTGGATTTCTTTATCATCATATTCCACACGACATGACATGTATTATAATTATTTTTAAATTTATATTAATTTGTATGAATTTATAATTTAATTACAAAATTTTTAAATCTTAAAAAAATTTGTATGAATTTATTAAAATTTAATAAAAATATTCTAAAGAAAATAAAATTCTTAAAATGTGTATCGAATATAAAAATTCGATAAAAATTTATCGGATTCGATAAACGAATAATTATACATACATATCCGATTTTGTTTTTAAAATGTTTAATTATATTACTTATTTAATTAGTTTATAGTTATATTTAAATTTATGTATGAATTTTTATAAATTTATAATTTAATTAGATAATTATTAATCGTTAAAAAATAATTTTTATAAATTTTTTATATTTAATATAAATATTTTAGAAAAAAAAATTGTGAAGATATTATCGGATGAAAATACGAGAAGAGAGGTATTGAATGGTATATATCTGTAGTTGTAATGATAGATGTATCAGGGAAGCAAAGTAAGAACAGAAGAAGAAGAAGAAGAGAAGAAGAGGTGGAGAGTGAGAAACACAGCGGAGTGGAAATGGAATCTGGTCCTCCTCCCAATGATCTCTGTTCAATCTGCCATGCCAACTTTCGCATTCCTTGTCAAGCCAATTACTCTCACTGGTTTTGTGGTATAAAACCCTCTTATTCGCTTTCTCTTTTCACCCTTCAATCTTTCATCCATCGATTCGCAACCTTTTCATTTTGCGGCAAATTGCATCATGCTCGTTTGGCAGCACGCATCAGGAACAAGCTCTTGCAAATGCCCTCTCTGTCGCCGACCCATCACTCTCTTAATCCCCACCGAACACTCTCTCAGCCCGCGTCATGATCCTGAAATTGCTCAGATTCTCTTCAAATTCATGCTTATAACCGTGTCTTCGGTGGCCAACCCTCCTCTTTTTTTCAGGTGCCCATCTTCTTTCTTCTTGCTTTCTTCCCTTTCATTGTACTTTTTTGTGGAATTGATTCCGAATGGTGATTCCAGAGAGTGCAAGATTTTCCTTTTCTGTTGCACAGGCTGCTTCGGGAGTTCCTAAACCCTCAAAGATCCCTTCTGTGTGTGGCTGGAGTGTGCTGTGTGCAACCAAGGAGAGGGAAGAACAAAAGAGAGCAAGAGAGGAGATGTTTCAAAATGTGCAGAGATATGCGTGAAGGAAAATATCTCTCGAATAATAACTAACGCCCTAAAAAATCTTTGACCATTTAATTTATTAAATATATATTAATACAATATAGGTAATGTTGTCGTTCTGGAAATATTTGGAATTGCAGGATGAAGTGATTGGAGGAGGTGCCCACTCTTTATTATCTTTCCAAGTATTTCTTTGTCATATAACCCTTATATTTCTGAATCGTGCTATCGTCTTCTGTAGGGTTCCAGTGGTAGAAGAGGAGAATCAGTAACTCCGACAAGGTTAGTGTTCATTTCAACTATTTGAGAATTATATAGATCTATTATGCCATATATCTAGCAGTTTGTCGTTTTTAGGCTCATCATATTAGGGTTTTCTGATTGACGAAGCTCTTCTTCTTCGTTAGTCTCCTACGATTCATTCAGCACTGTGCTTTGTCTATGCGATTTAGTAGTCGTCTCCTCGCATTTCGCCCTCGCTCGCTTTTCTCCCTCGCTCGCAGTCGCCGTCGGCCGCAATCTCGCCGTCAGCGGTGGTCGCGTCGTGCCTCCTTCGGTGGTCGCACTGTTTCTCCTCTGTTTGTGTGATCTGTTTCGCACTCATCTGCGTGTGCCTCGCCTCTGTTTCACTCAGCTGTTCGTGTGATCTGTTTCACTCATCTGTTCGTGTCCTTCGTGTGGTTTAATGTAATGAAATATTTTTTGTCTCACATAAAAACAATGAATATTATGCGACAATAATCAAATAAGTGTATAATGCAATAACACATGAACTAAATTTAGAAACAATAAATAAGCAAAATAAGAATACATAAAATAAATAAAATAAAATACAAACTTACCAAACCAGAAATCATTAAAAATAAATTAAAAAACACATAACAAACAATTAAAATTTCCAACGATAAATAAACAAAAGAAAAAACACACAAAATAAAATAAAATAAAAACTAACAAAATCATAAACTATTAAAAATAAATTTTAAGAGAATAAAAGATATATAAAAATAAAAATAAGATTTCAAAATCTTGTTAAAGAGTATACTATATTTCAAAATTTATTTAAAGATTGAGATACAGTATACTTAAAATCCTTTAATCGGATTTTGAAATCCAATATTTTAAAAAACAATTTTAGAACTCGATTCCATGCTTTTCTAAATTTATTTTTTAAAATTCAGTATTTATCTCTAAATGTGGGGACTATTTGGGATTTTAGCTATTAAATTCCTTCGCCCTTAATTATTCAAAGATTAAGAACTTATGCAAAAGTAAAAAGAAAATGATCTAGAAGGAAAATGAAAAATGTTGCCTAAAAGAAGGGGATGAGATATAGAGTGCAGGAAACTCAGAAGAAAAGAGAGGAGTGGATATATAGTGTGAGGAGTGTATTGTAGGATGGGAAAAGAGAGTTTAAGGAGCTTAGAATAAATGGGAGTGAGAGTTGGTGAAAGAATAAAATAAAGAAAAAAAATTAATTATTTATCTAGTCTAAATCAAAAATAAATAAAGATATTTTATAAACTCAATTATATCACTGAATCTCTTAATTTAAAATAAATAAATAAATAAAGTGTTGTTATATATATAAATATTTTAAAAAACAGATATAAAAAGAGAAACAGAGATAACACAAGAATGAGATGTGAAACACACAAGAATGAGATGCCAAACACACAAGAATGAGATGTGAAACACAGTTTATAAAACTTACAGCGAGATCTAAAATCTATCCAACAGCTGTCATTTTAACTTGCAGATGCTATTTTTGAGTTAGAACTTTTTATTATCTAACCTTTGTATTTCTGAATCGTCCTTATGTAGGGTTACAGTAGTAAAAGAGAAGAATCGGCACCTCCCACAAGGTTAGTCTTCATTTCAACAACTTGAGAATTATATAGGTGCCATATATGCTAGCAGCTTTGACGTTTTAGGGCTCACCAGATTAGGGTTTTCTGAGTCAAAGATTAGGGTTTTCTGATTCAGGTTGACTGACGAAGCTTTTCTTCTTCGTTAATCTCCTACAATTCACTCTGCTTTGTCTCTGCGATTTAGTAGTTGTCGCTCGCGTTTCGCTCTCGCTCGCTTTTCCCACTCGCTCGCGTTCGCAGTCGGCCGCCATCTCGCCGGCGATGGTCGCATTTTCGTGTAATCTGTTTCGCACTCATCTGCGTATCAACAGGTGCCTAGAATGTGTTACTGTTTGTCTTTATGAACAAGTTAGAATGATTTTCGTGAAGAAAGAAAGTATGGTATGTATGATAAAGTTGTGGAGTATATATAAATGATAATGTAGTGAGTGATGTCTGAGGATAATACTTGCTTTTCCAGAGTTGCCATTAGTTCGTTAAACCCTTCACTGGTGACTATTGGTTCAAGAATTTGTGGTCATCTATGTTCGGACATTATAGATGATACCCTCCACAGTCCATTTAAGAAGCCAAAAAGCTGCGTCTACTAAATAAAATATGAAATTACTATTGCTATTATCTACTGAATAAAGAGAATATCTACTGAATAAAGAGAATGTGAAGAATTTAAAATTATTATTACTATTAAAATAGTTCATTTCCTTTTTTAATTCATTGTGAATTCTTATTTATAAAGATAAAGGTTAATTTCCTTTTTTAATTCACTGTGAATTCTTATTTATAAAGGTAAAGGTTAGAGGGGATGTGAGGTATTAGAATTGAGGAATAATGTTTGATATTTTATTTTAACTCATACACAAACTAAATGAGGTTTTCTCCTTTTAAAAATGAATATTTCGATACGAGAAATTGTGCTTCTTGGTGGTATCGGCCGCGGCTCGCGATGGTCGGGCTCCCTCATGCGGCGAAGACGCGACGGAAGAGGAGAGATTTCGCCTCGACTGGCGACAGCTCCGGCGGCTCGCGGCTTCCGGTCGGGTGGAGGTTTGGACGTGCAGCTGGCGGCGACCGGTGATGCTAGTGGGAATCCTGGCCGGATCGAGGCGCGGCGGAGGTGAAACCCCTCCCTGGGTGGCCGGATTGAGGCTCGACAATGACGCGATGGTGGCTGGTCCGGAGAGGCAGTGACGCCGTGGCAGGTGGTGGCTCCGACGGAGTGGTGTCGCCGGCGATGCCGATCTGGCGGAGGCGGCAGCGTGCGTGCAGAGGTGAAGCTATTCATCGGAGTTCTAGGCTGGGAGAAGAAAGACTTGTTTCTCGTGTTTGCAGATGGAAGAATGAAGAAGGTGTGAGTAGACCCCTAATGGGTTTCTGAATAAAGACTCTTTTGGACCTAGCTTTGGGCTGCATCCTCTCTTCCTGCCACATGCACAATTCCATCCGCACCCTACTCAGTTTGGGCTTAAGCCCATCCGTTTCTAAAAAAAAAGGGGAAGAAAATAAGAATTGGGCCTGACAAGTAAATACTCAATGGCACTCCCAAATTTCATTCTTACACCCTGGCAGATCCAAAGTTGGAGAAGAGGGTTTTGGCCCAAACAAAAGAGTCTCATTTTTTTCTCCGCACCCCTGGTATTTATCTCTATACCGCTATTCTTGTTGGATTTTTCTCTTGCTTTATTTTTTATGCTTTTGTTTCTTTATTTGATTATTTGGTCTTTATTGCATGTAAAACCCCTTTGATAATCCCACACTCCCTTGTTTTATATCAATTGGACTTATTTGTTTGGTTTTTTTTTTTTGCATAAAAATTATAAAAATAAAATAATAAATGAAACAATGGAAAATATGAAGTGTGAAAAGTAAAATTGTGAAAATTCACTGTTATGATAGAACAGAAAGCTCAGAAGGTTCCAAGACCCTCTACCTAGAGCCACGCTCTTGAGGAGAATCGTAATAATTCTTCTCCTCCCACTCCACCAGAAAAACAAAACGTGTTCCCTCTAACCTCCTACAGCTTAGAATATAAAACAACCTATACTCTTTTTCTCTCTCTTCTAACTAACACATTTCTCTTACACAGTCACGTCACCTTTTTCTCTCTTCTTATAAACTCCGCCGCACCTATTTTTATTATTTCCTCCTCCTTGAATCAAGGGTTCATTGACTTCCTTAACACTTGGGTACGTATCAAACTCACTATTTCTAATGAACTATAACAACAACAGAAATGCACAAGTTCAAATACTAATGGAAATGATTGAATACAAACAACAGAAAACAACATATATGCAAATACACAAAATTCATAGACTGACTACCTCACTATATATTATTTTCCAATTATATCTCAACCAAAGATCTTTCTACAAGATTTCCTGACCAGAAACATAGCAAATGAAATCACATTATAAAACCCCATGTTTGGAATTGCAGGATGAAGTGATTGGAGGAGGTGCCCACTCTTTATTATCTTTCCAAGTATTTCTTTGTCATATAATCCTTATATTTCTGAATCGTGCTATCGTCTTCTGTAGGGTTCCAGTGGTAGAAGAGGAGAATCGGTACCTCCGACAAGGTTAGTGTTCATTTCAACTACTTGAGAATTATATAGATCTATTATGCCATATATGCTAGCAGCTTTGTCGTTTTTAGGGCTCACCAGATTAGGGTTTTCTTATTGACGAAGCTCTTCTTCTTCGTTAGTCTCCTACGATTCACTCAGCACTGTGCTTTGTCTATGCGATTTAGTAGTCGTCTCCTCGCATTTCGCCCTCGCTCGCTTTTCCCCCTCGCTCGCAGTCGCCGTCAGCGGTGGTCGCGTCGTGCCTCCTTCGGTGGTCGCACTGTTTCTCCTCTGTTCGTGTGATCTGTTTCGCACTCATCTGCGTGTGCCTCTGTTTCACTCATCTGTTCACATCCCTTTGTTCGTGTCCTTCGTGTGGTTTAATGTAATGAAATATTTTTTTCTGAAAAGTAGTAAGCCTTTGTTCTTATCCTTTTTTTCACTCAACTGCTGGAGTGTTTTTTAGTTTCTATGTTTTGTAGTGAAAAAAACATAGAGCATTATGTCTGGAATAATTCAAGTGCATCTTCATCCTCTATCCATACATTTTCTCATCTCTCCCAAAACCAAAACTTTATTGTGTACCAACTTCTTAAGCTTGGTCTATATAGCTCTCTATCAACAGGTGCCTAATGGAGTGAGTGTGTTAGAGTAATAGAGTGAGTAATTGGTTAAACTGTGCAACTCAATCTGCTTTAGGAAGTTGTTTGGTTTGTTTTTGTAGTAATCTAGGAGGTCTGATTTATTTAGGTGGCATTGGTAATGGGCATAAGGGTGGGTTTGTGTCCATTTGCCTCAAATGGAAAGCAGATTAAAGAATGTCTGGTAGTGGTGAATCCATTATGCCTTGGTTTGGTTGCTGATCGCATTTTTTGGGTTGTTGAGTCCCAAATCTCCTTGTCAATGCACAAAACCAATATGTGCAATTAATTTTCGGTTGTAATAAGGGCCAATTAATCAACTGCATTGGGTGTAAGTTTCTGAACATGGGCCTCTTTGCAGCATAATTGGACTCCCCTAACTTTTTCTACACTCTTTGTCGTTTAATCTCTATCTTGCCTTTGGGCTACTCAAACCTTCTTGTCACTTTCCTTCCTATGTTCTTACACATTACTATATCAAATTTTTGTATCTGTAAGTGACCAAGACTGAACAATTTCAAAAATAATTCTGTGTTCATCGGCGTTTATAACATTCTCTAAGAAACCAAATATTTGAAACCAACCAACCATCTTCTCAGTTGCTGCTCACTAGATGTCAGTCATTTTTTATAATTTTTCATAGTGCATCAAAAGAAACCGTGATTGTACATGTACGTAGCTCCCTAAAATCTTCAGAGAGAAAAATAAATACATACCCCCCTCACTCTCTTTCAAAAGGACTACAGTTAAAATTTGTTCGTGTCCCTTATATTTGGAGACTCTTGTACTACTACTTGGGTAATGTTGAAAGAATTGAGCAATGTTGTATGGGACTTGTTGAGAAGGTGTGGTTTTGGAACTCAGAAAAAGAAAAGGAGTATGGTCAAAGTGGTGCAGGGTTGTATCTCTATGTTATATAATGGCTATATTGACTCTGAAAGAAGATGACTAAAGAGAACTAATCAAACACTGCCTTTGTCTTCAATAAAGGCACTACCATCAGATTCTAAGGAATCATCAACTCTAATAGAAATCAGAGTTTAGGAATAAATGGAACAATCGAAAATATGAAGTGTGAAAAGTAGAATGGTGAAAATTCACTGTTATGATAAAACAGAAAGCTCAGAAGGTTCCGGGATCCTCTGCCCAGAGCCACGCTCCTAAGAAGAATCGTAATAATTCTTCTCCTCCTACTCCACCGAAAAACAAAACGTGTCCCTTCTGACCTCCTACAGCTCAGAATATAAAACAACCCATACTCTTTTTCTCTCTCTTCTAACTAACACATTTCTCTCACACAGCCACGTCACCCTTTTCTCTCCTCTTATAAACTCTGCCCCACCTATTTTTATTATTTCCTCCTCCTTGAATCAAGGGTTCATTGACTTCCCTAA